AATACGTAATTATCGGCTTAATTGTTTCGTATGTGTTTGGTCGAATTACTTATCGATCTCTGGGCTTTTTTGAAGATCTGGTCAGCTCATTCTCTTTTTGGTCACTCAGTTTCTGGAATTTTAAGTGTCGATTCAAAATGTTATTCATCTTCTCAATATAGTCTTTCTTGTTAAGTAGGATAGTCCCTGTTCCTTTATCAGGCTTCGTAATAGTCAAATCTTCGTCATTACTAAGTTCACTGATAGTCTACTTGTGTTTTTTAGTTAAATTGTTTCTGTAAATATACCTACTGTTTTTAAACTAATAGCAACAATTATCCAGCTTCGATTTGAAATGTTCAAGTTCTTGATCAGAGGTTGGAAATAGATCTGATGTCTGATGATTTAGGTTTTCAAACTGAATGTCTGAATCTATATAATTTATATGGTTTCGTGTATCACAGAACTTAAGACCTAGTACCAATACTCCAAGTTTTTCTTGATTTATTTCAGTACCGGAAAAAATTATGAATATACTTTTTATGTTCAGTCTGAAATTTATTTTCAAATGGTCAATTTTCTAGGCTTTCAAGAAGTTATGTTGCTTGTTTGACATTTTATGGTTTACGTTACAAAGATGACTAAAGAAAAAAAAGTAAAAATAATTTCAACCAAAACAAAAATCTCCTAAAGAATCAAGCTATAAACATTGCAAAAAGTCAATTTTTAATTTGTTTTAAAAGAATGGAAATAAAATTAATTTGATTTAAAAAAATTAAGATTCATTCTGATAACTCATTTAATCTTGACATTATCACCACATGATTTTAGGCAAAATAAAAATACGCATATCTATGACGTCCGACACCTAATTATAAACTTACCAAATGATATAACTATTGACGATAATAGTTACTAAGAGATACCAACTAAAGTAGAGAAATTTCCCTTCTTCTCGTCAACAGATTATCCTATACCTAAGTAGAAATACATAAAAAACCGATTTCTCCTGTCTAGCTTCAAGAAAAGTGAGTAGGGTTCGGCTCAATAGAAATTATTTGTTATGATCTCTTTTGGAAGGAACTAGATTTCAGAAATATAAGTCTTAGTAATTCAATAAGAATCAATTTACATAAATACATAAGGAATAGACCAGTTGACACTGAGTTCTCTGAGCCGGGTGGCCTAATAATAGTATTCACAATGACTGCTTTATTCAATACGGTAAATTTTGAAACATTGAGCAAACCTCAGAACCAGTTTGACAGTAACATCACAAATACCTCTTTAACACACATTCAAGTTGTAGCTATTCAAAATGTGTTATAAATGTTTTTAGCAGTCAGCAAACCGACAGACGCTTACTCAATCACTAAGGTTTTCCACTAGTTCTATTGTAATAAGCACATTTCCGCCCTATATATATATATATATATATATATATATATAACGTACTTGAATTTCAACAAATTTCTCTGTCTCTTGTCCCGTGTCATAACTTGTCAATTGAATGCTACTTGAATATATGGCCGTCGCTTATTGTTATGTCGGAAACGCTTATCACTTATACTCGAAACAAGGGACCTCCGAAATACTCCAGTACAACAGAGGGTGGCGAGAGTCAGCTCTCCTCACAATTCCCTCACATCGCCACGCGTATACAGTCACTGCCAGGAGGGTCCAACTCCACGCCTCCTCGCGACGATAGTGTTGTTTGGGAAATCAATGGGATGAAAAGCGAATGTCCGGCGCTATAACCGAATTAATGAACAGGGAGGGTCCATCGAGGGAAGTTGGAAAACCCTGATTCCAAACCAATGGTGCACATGGGCTCCAGGAAACTGAGGAAACAAATGGCATCCGGACCATTTGTTGGTCACCAGCTACAATCGGACTGCATCATCTAACGTTGCTCCAATGCCTTGTGGATTAAACCTGTAGGTAAAAGGCTCAGGGGGTGGCCTACAAAAAAACACCTGCTTTGTTCTGGGCACCCGGGCAGTATTCCAGCCCCCATACAAGTCGAATGACGACGTGTGCCGCATATATATTTGGTGTTTCCGTGTACTAATGTTTATGTGTTTAAATAAATTTCAAAAAGTGGATAATCTGTCCTCGATACTAATTACTTTTTCACCTGTTCTAGAAATAAAATGAAATAACCATCTATCACTAACATGCAGATTTTAATGTTCATCAACTACAGACACTTTGTCCAAATTTATTCATATCAGTAACCAAACTGAAGCTATACATTTTGCTTTCCTACGTGACTAAGTAATAAGAAAACAAATGCAAATAAATACAATGAATAGTAAAACTTAAATGATATGTATATCGTTTGCAGCAATTTCGCAAATGATATTCTTAACAATTCTTTTTATAAGTATTATCGCTTATGAGAGGACAATTAAAGAGAAAATCTACTCATCAAAAATATTAACCAAACACACAGAATATTTTTATCTTATAAAAACATAATTCATCGACTCGATTATTTCTAAATATCTTCATATTTATTTAATATTTTATGAAGTTAGCGTGCTTGGTTAGATGCTTGTTAAATTTATATAACGACTTTTTGAACATACAATATACATATATATATAATGACGACCGACCTGTTGACAAATTTTCGTCCGTTTAGTATAAATCTACATTTTACTTCAGTAAAATTTAAAATCATTGAATTTGGATAATATTGACGTAAGTTTAATTCATTTAACAAGGTACAGCATTATATATTCGGTTTCGAGCCATGTTAGTGATACTCTATTTGGCTAAATCAAACAAAAGTAGATGACGCAAGAATTGGACCTGTCATCTTTAATTCATTTCTATGAATCACAATTTAAAATGAAAAAGCTATTCAGTGATCCTTTATTCACTATTTAATGATAACAATTTAATAAAATATCAATCATCAATAAATTTTTATTCCTCCTCAATAAAAGTTGATCAAATTTTCATGAACAATCTCTTTTATTTTATTTTTTATATAAGTTTAACACAAAGCATAAACATAAAGAACAAAATAATAATAAATTAATAACAGAAAATTCTAATTGAATCAAAAGAACAAGAAGAAGGTTTTCAACCATCAAACCAACACTCAAAACAGAAATAAACAAAATAAATGAATTTTCAAGAAAACAATTATTTGCATATATCATGTATTACATGAAGTAAACAAACTGTCAGTTTAATTGTGATTAATGCATAATAAGAGAAATCGTCATTATCATTCTATCACTTAACGACACAATACACATATATATATATATATATATTCAGCTTTGTTTAAAATTACCAAATAAAAATAAGAAATCAACAAAAAAGAACTTGATGTGGAAGAAATCGAAAGTAAGTCATAAATCATGAGGAAGAGTATATATATATATATATATATATATATATATATATATATATATATATATATATAATGAAGCCTATGAGAGAATGACTAAAAATCATAATCGTCGGTAATATGCATATACTAGGATGGATTATTCAAGAAATTAAAACAAACCTCACATACTCGAACTGGTTTAGAAAGTTCATATTTTACAATTGGTATTTCGAATGCTGAACATTGAGCACAAAGTAAACGTCCACAGTGGCGACTAGAAAAAAAAAGAGAAATGTTAAGATCACGTTTGTCATTAATTAAAGGTGCAACAATAATGGTGAAATATAATACGATTTTTAGTAGTTTAATGATTTGATGAAACATCAATACTGATAACTTGAGGAAACAGGGATTAAAAATACCCAGATATACACAGAGTAGCGGTTTCTGGTGGTTAAACTGGTCAGGATTCCACATTTACTTCGGGTGAAGAAGCCGATGATTACCAATCAACGAGATCTCAAAAAAATGTATGGATTAAAGTTGAATACAGATACTCGTACTTTGTAAATTAGTTACATTTTTAACACAGAAGTTAATGCTATTGAATAATGAATTATTTCAGTCCGTTATCATCAACATGTAGCCTGATACATATGTGTAATGGGTCAAGTTACCATACAACATTGGCACAATGAGATGAAATTAACGAGACTAATGTCAACGACGTTGGAGTATTGGAACTACTAAAATTTGTTTATCCGTATCGAAGTTCCGTTGCTTAATCCTCATACGTGGATCTGGATCGGATCAGAAGACAGTGAAGAGGATAATAACGAGAAGTACCAATATTATTTGTTATTGTTATTAATATTTACAATTTATGAGCGACTTGAATTGCTGAAGGCAAGTGATTATGGCTCGTGATTGTTGATAATAAAAAGGATCCTGTGCAATTATTCATTCGTTTGTGGTCTCAGGGATTGCACAGATGGTCTTCTAACTTCCGAACGATGGCCGTTAGTCAGCATAACGATTGTGATAATGAATGTTAGAAGAGATTGAAATAAGGTTGTAGCAGTGATAATGACAAGGATTAAACATGGAAAGCTTGACTCGAAAAGATAGTTAAAGCGTATGTATGAGCGTGTACTACAATTTAAAACAGAGAAGAATTTATCGAATGAATGCATATGTACTAATGTAAACGATTCTGGGGTACGTCACTCAAAGTCTCCAATCAGAGATCACGAACGTCGCACAAAAAATGAAATATACGATTCATCAAGCCATGATCGGAAAACTGTATTTTTAATATTCATACTGTCTTGATTTGTTATACATAAACAGTGGTTATCACCACTTTCGATTTATTATGAAGTAAATATTGAACAGAGAACAACATATTAATAAACAAGTATGTACATAAAATCCCATTGTTAAATACACCAAAAAATGATTGAAGTAATCAACAAATGACTGGCCAAAGATCAAGATCACAAAACAAATCACTAAATCTTCACTTCTGTCTATCATACCAATGAAGAAATTAGATAAACGAATAACAAAAAACAAATTTTAGATTACAATAAATCACATACCAGTGATGTTTTCTGTTAGTTATACCAAACTTCACGCAACATTCAACACAAACAGAACCATCTTCCCATCGAGGTTCTTGAATAAGTGAATCTAATCATTTTCATTAAAAAGAAATCACTTTAATAGGCAAAACCAAATAGAAAAGTGTGGGCAACTAAATTTAATCAGTTTATTATAAAACAGAATATTTCTTTGTTAAAATATAGTATTGAGGTTAATTAGATAAATTTAAACAGATTTTGTCATCTAACAGATGTGTCTATTTCAGATTCAGAGCTTTCATTCTCAAGTTATATTTTTATTTTATTGAATCGTCAGAGTCAAAAGTGTAGTGTATTGGAAAATGTTTAAAAAGAAGGATAATTATTAAAACATATGAATTTCAAGAAAAAAATGTACCTAGTAATTGTGAAAGAACATGTCCAGGAGTTGAACTTTTACATTTCTTTTTATTTAGACTAAACACAGTATCCCCTTCAGAATTCATAATTCCTAAAGATGCACCGGCTTGAAGTAATGCGGTACAAAGTGATATGTTTCCTGCTTGATATGCGAGAATTAATGCTGAAAGATGGAGAAAACAGAAACAAACAAAACAAGAAAAACTTATTAAGACCAACTGTAATTAATTTTTTTCTTAAAAAGACAAAGAATTAGTGACATGTAAGAAGAAATTAACATTTAGAAAATAAACAATATTTATGAATGTGAAACAAAATGAGCGACATCTTTTTTTTCCAAAAATGTATCCTTGAAATAATTTGACAAATAGTTAGATCACAAGGTGATTTTTATTATGAGATTACTTGAGGGTTGCATTATATCAAGAACCAATTAGCGTTCCATAAGTAAATTGTTGCAGTGAAATTCACAGGTGCTCATTGTGACCCTTTTTATTTCTGAGATGAGGGTCATATGCGTATGAGGTTATGAATGAGCACTAATTTGAAGGGGCAAACTAAGATGAAGTAACATTCCAGTGTCTTGCTTTATTATTGTTCGTTAAATGGCGTCACACCGTGGTGAAAAAACGCTAGGTAACGGCTTTGCTTGTATACATTTACTCAAATATTCACCTGTTATGTTTGTATGCCTTTTGTTACGTCTCTAGCAGATTCACACTCTATATTGTCAATGACTGACTGACTGCTTGCTAAAATAATATAGAAGATACTTTTATATTTTGACGGAGTCGAACTCCATTGGTTAACAATTTACTTGCAAATTAGAAGAGAACTACTAGAACGAACAAAGAACATAAAAATAACATGCAAATTTTCAATTAACTTCTCAACTGTACGTTACAATAATAATTTAGAGTGAAATTCAAAATTTAACTATAACTAAAAAAGTCCGTACATATTTTTCCATGTCGTTTTAATCGATAGATTGTTGAACAGCGGAGTTCGTGTATAAAAGAACTGTATGTGTTCAGTAAATCAGAAACTTATTGCAAAATCAAAACCAATTAATAAAACTAGGTGGCTTGAATTAAGATTATGATGAAAATCATTGGTTTCCCATAGAAAATTCAAGTGTGATTTTAAAAATTGTGGCAGCCATTTGAAGTATGCTAAACCTGACAAGTTGTAAAACGAACTAACTGATAACTGTAATTCTTAAAATAACTAGATTGATTGAGTTTTGGCTAGTCCCTTGGGTTGATCGAATTATAACGAACAAGTTTTACTTTGACCACAAATCTAAGCGACTAGTCATTGTGAACTATGTTCCGCTGTCAGCTACTTGAAGGTAACCACCCAAACTAAAATTCGGAAATAATTCACACCATGAGGAGTAAGTCGAACTGCTGGTCACTTTACAGCATGATCAATAGAACTTGATAGGAAACATGCACACAGGCTACTGCTCAATGATCAATAAGGATAAATATATTAAAACGAAGATTATCGTCTTCTTATTACATTATCGAAATTGATCAAAGGGACTAATTGTTTTATAAATATATTAGTCATATCGGGAGTCGATAATGCGTTGAATGACTTAATTTTAACATCGCCAGCTGTAACATTGGGTGATGATTCAAATCACAGTGAGACTTGAGACTGCAGATCTATTATGCAAATAGGTGACAACTACCTAGGTTCAGAACCTTCTATCGATTGAAGAAGATTCATAAGAAACAGCTTATTTTAAATTATTATATAACTAGTCGCATAATAATTAAATATTTATTGACAAAACAGAATTTGTATTGTTATATAATTTAGACGCTTTAGTTTATCTTTCGTACTCGTAAGTCATACACTTTACCTGAATATTGTTCATTAAGGTTTTTTCTAATGCCTAAAATTATAACAGTTACTTATGCAGCGTAGAACGCGCAACATATTGGCGTCGATTCAAGTTGTTATACGTCATTCAAAATCACTAACCATTAATTATGATAATCCTACGAACCCCAACACGATAGTCCGCACGTGCCTACATGTCTTAGTTCAACTGTTAGTGAGTTCATAGACTGGTGGCACAGTTCAGCTTTGCCTTCTCCAGTTTTCTTCTAGCCTACTTTTCCTACATAAGCAAATATCCCCGGTCGAGGTAGGAGGTAACTCAATCACTTCAATTGAAGAAGTAGTTGGGATAATTAGAGCAAAACATCCTTCCTGATTCTTAATACATTTCGTAAAGTTATACCCCAAACAGGTGAAATCAACAATTGCATTATTCACTAATGGTTCCCGATAAAAGAAAACTAATAAGAAGTAATTGAATAAACATGTCAAATTAAATATTGAATAATAAATGAATTATCAAGAAAAAACTTTATTACATTAACCTAGATTATTGAATACATGTGAGATAAACAAATATTGTTGGACAAACACAAAAAAATTAGTATGCTTATATGAATAGTAAGAGATTAGAAGAAAATTGGTATGGGAAGAAAACCAGTAAGTATGCAAACAAACAATTGCATTATTGAACAATGCAGATTTGTATGCATTTGGGTGTACATGACAAAATATTACGGTATAAAAATCAATATTACATAAAATAACCATAGTTTTTATGCACTGACATTTTCTCATATGATCAACGTATAAACTACGGTTTATAAAATTAAGCAAGAAAATGGAGAAAAAGCCATGAACGGTGGAACTGAATCGTGTCGGGTGTGAGGCATTTACCGACTGAAAACAGTGGAAAATGATCGTGCAAAATCGTGGATTGGTTGAAGTTGCACACTGACAGTACTGGAGAGTGATTCAGTGATCTAAAGGTTAAGCGTTCGCGCGTGTGACGAAAGTTCCAGAATTCGATTCCCACGCCCCGAGTTAAAGATAGGGTTTTAGGTTTTCAATGATGGTCTAACTTGAATCGGTTTCAATGACTTCAATGAAATTAAACGTTTTATGTTACAGACTTATTAGATTAGAGCGACTGACTATGATGGTGTGACTTTATTGAATAAAGTAATATTTTTATTGGATTTTATTCAGTTTTGAAAGTTTACTCTGCAGTCCCAGTGTGACAATTATGAACGAATTGCTAGCCGGATATCAAGATAATATTAAACAAAAATACAAACCATGACAATACCATATCGCAAAAACTACTGACGTAAATTACTCACGAGTATTGCCAGCAGCATCTTGGGCATTGATTTGATTGGCAACAGATACTTCTAATAAATACTCAAGCATTTCAACACTGACTGGACCTTGGTGTTGAGCCAGCAAGTGGATCGGCAATTGACCTCTAAATAAATTTGGGATTCATAAGTGTTTATCAGTATAGGGTTGCGGAGATTGTTGAGTTTTGATTGAGATCATGAATCGATTAATGTTGGACCACAACTGAAAACCTGGAAGCAATAGTGTAGATTGATTGAAGTTAGACATTAACACCGTTAGATGCCTACTTAGTGGTCTACAAGTTAAGAGATCGCGCATGAGGCCCAAATCTATGGGTTTGAGTCTCGCATGCGGGATCGTGGGCGCGCGGCTTCTGAGGAGCCCCATACTAGGAAGAAACGGCCATCCAGTGCTTCGAGGTTTTCAATAGTGATCTAATATTGATCGATTCATAAATATTTGCAATCCACATGAAGATCAATTAAATGTAAGCATCAAATAGATGATTTAACAGTGTTAACTTTATTCTAAAGACTATGATGAATAAATCGACACGAGCTGCGACTTCATTATATGAGAGTTCACAAACAAAAATTTCTAATCGTTCAAAGAATTTTACTAGATAGTATTTGGCTACTCATTAGTAGTCAGCTTAAATATGATAAAAGAGTTGGATATAAAAAGTGAGGGAGTTCAATTCCAAGTTGGATTGTTTATTGAAAGGGATTAGGATGGAACTAAAGTACAAAAACCTGGCACTAATGTTTCAAAAAAAAATTTGATTGTGATGAAGAGGTACAATTAGTGAAAACCGAGATTCAGGGTTAGAAATAATTTTGGAAATTAGGGTTAGATTCAGTGTTAGCCATTATTATTACATCTCAAAAACAAACATAAATCCCAACAAATTTCAAATTGGACAAATCGTACTACTTATTCTTCTAGTGTGCCACGTTGGCATCGACGATTATTTCATTGCTTCCGATGAATTAGATGGCGGTATTTCGGTTATAAAGTCTAACAATATTCAGTGAATTTATATAAAGTTTAGACTCAGATACAAATATTCGCTCCTATCAGACCAATATGGATTTACAAGCTGAAAAAGCAAGCTCGCAAGAAGACTTACCTGCCAACCAATACTAAAAACGTTTATAGTTGCTACGTGTTCACAAGTAATTAAATTCGTACTCATGAAGGTGGAGACCTTGGATGAGGTGAGCGGTTAAGTTGATGAGCAAAGAACGGATACACTTGTACACAAACTATCGCACACATTTGTAAGACAATGGGGTCTGTGAGATCCTAATTAGTACATATACTGTAACATATGACACTTAATACTAACTTATAAGAAGCCCTAGAGGTGATTTAAATAAACGTTAAATGAGTCACTTGAAAGTGATTGACACAATTTTTCTCTATTTGAACAGAATTATGGTAAAATCAAAAGTTATACACTAGTATACATCATATAATGTTATTAGTTCACGTTATGAAAATTAAAGTGTTTAAGTATTCATTGTCATTTACCATCGTGATACTTCATAAGAACTACTGTTGAATAAATAAAGTGAAAACCCTTTTCACAATTCATACACGAATGTTAAATTGGTGAGATAAAAACATACAATCGAGATTATTTTTAAAGAATTACGATCAAATTGTAATATGTACACAAGATTATTATTATTATTATTATTATTATTATTATTATTATTATTATTATTATTATTATTATTATGAAAGAAACTAACCTGATATTTATACAGTAACAATTTGTAGCGGAATGATTGAGCATTTTTACAAGACAATCTACTCTAGCATGTCGAACAGCTAGATGTAATGCTTACACAGAAATAAAAGATGTTTGTTATCATGAAATAACTGAGTAATTGGAACATAATAATAATAAGTAGAATTTTATTTTTATTTATTTGAACACACAAATATTGGTACAAAGGGGCACCGAATACATATGCGCCACACAAGTCACTTGATTTCTTTGTGGGCTGTAATACTGCCCGGGTGCCCAGACCGAAGCAGGTAATAATAAGTAAAAACAAATTCATGGCACATGTTATAAATAATATTTAGTGTACGAAGTTGGCTTAGATCCGAATTAATAAGGTATAAATCTGTATCGAAAATTTAACGGTTAAGAGTTTTGCGCTTAAAATGACTAAACTCAGCACTTTGTAAACGTTATAGGTAAACTAATGGAGATCAAGCAAATTATTGATGACACTCACTCGAATATTAATGTATTAAATAAGTCATTTGTCTTTAAACGATTTAATGTCACGCTTTCCATTTGTTCTAACTAGGGGTGGATCTATAAATCAAGATTTACGACAAATGATGTCTCGAAAGGTTGTTATTAAATTCATTACAGTTTAGCATGTTTCTACAAACCCCTATTTTCGTTAAAACGAATGTAAAACTACTTCTGTTCACACTTTTACATCTATTAATTTGGACATAGTGATTAATTAAAAGTAACTTAAAAGTGTATAAGTAGTCATTTTGGATATTATAATTATTTTTTATCGCGATACAATGCCAAGTTTAGAAAGAGTTTCTAAATAAGTTACATGCACTTTCTTAAACTAAACTTCATTTGAAAGGTAGTAATGTTATCTGATGACTACCTACTTAATGTCAGTTTTGTGACTGAACTAAGTGCAAAGCCACCTACCTTCGTCATCGTAATATTTCATCATTTTTCAAACCTCCGTAACTGATGTCAATGCTATTTATTTTGAGTGATTTTTTAAAAGAGATTTATTGAAAAATGATTTTTCATTCGTTCGGCTTTGATCGGAAGGGTTGGTGAAATTACAAAATCCGTAAGTTGTTATATCCAATTAGCAAGAACGACGTGAAATTAACAAGATGCTTAGCAAAAGAGATCGGAATAATAAAACAGTATATATACTTACGTGTATTACGTTCAGAATCTTGAGAATTGGGGTCAGCTCCATTCTCTAATAAACAATGTACTAATTCCGGTCTATTGTAAATCACAGCCAAATGAAGACCGTACTGTTTTTGTGGTGTTTGTGAGTTAATAGATGCACCGGCAAGAAGCTATTGATAATAAAAACAAAAAAACCACTCAAAGTAACGATGAATGAAAATAAGAAATAAGATTTCTAAATGAAAATGTAATAATCTTTATAATATCAAGGAAAAAAATGATTGTAATCTAAATCTTATGTAGACATGAGAAAGTAGATAACATTGTAAATTATATGAAAACATACGAAATTTCACGGGACAACAAACTCATATACATTTCAACAATTAGATAAGTAAAAGAAAACGTTCTACTCAAAGTAAACATTTCATGGTATCGCTCAATTCTACAGTCTGAAAAAGGATGACTAATTAATACAAATCCTAGGTTGACTAGTAAGTTTATATCAAAGAATTAATCTAAATAAGACGAGAACAGCAATCGTAATATGAATCATACCTCTCAGTTGCTTGCCAGTTCAACAAAGCTCATAAAAATGTTATGAGAAACTTATCCATTTTCAAAGGGGATGCGACTTCAAGTAGAATTTATAAAAAGGATTAAAGCGGCGTTAAGAAGGTATATCACTGCAGACTAACTGTTCCAAGTATATCATACCAAATATTCCTTACACCTACCAAAGCTTTATCAATATCCTTCTAAAGGTCAGCCCCAAATAGACTAATGAATTGACATATAGCAAGTGTTGTTGATTGTTGTATGACAGATACCACATAAGTTTAATAGAGCCAAAGAGCAAATTTACGTGTTAAACTATGAATCGAATTATTTGTTTTTTATTTATTTTATTTGAACACATAAATATTGGTACAAGAGAGCGCCAATATATATGCGCCACACAAAACAATGGGAATTCGAAGAGAAAAAAAAAAAAAAAACTAAGGAACGCAAAAGAAAAAGAGAGTAATGACGAAGAGGTACAATCAGAAGAAATCTTTCAGGTAAAGGAGACACAACCACTTTTTATGAAGAAAGTAAAAGAAGGTTACAGCAGGATCGCCACTGGCTTCTATTCTGAGCCATATCTGATAACGTCTCTAGCCACTGTGTAGCACCATCTCTCGGACCCCAGCCAGGGAGTCGTGAAGGACCAACACAAGCCAGTCCTTTGCAGCTTTCTTTCATGCCACGACACCATGTCATGCACTGACCACCTCTCCGCTTCTTCCAACCAGTCCCAGAGTCGGCAAATAATGCACGACGTGGAATTCTCTGGGACGACATTCGGAGAACATGTCCAAGCCACCGAAGTCGGTGTTTCAAGATGGTGACACCAATTGAGTTATCATCTCTGTGCCCGAACACACGATGCCGAACCTCTGCATTACTGACATGGTGTTGCCACTGAATGTCAGCAATCCTTCGGAGACAGCGATGATCGAACACAGAGAGTCGTCTAACGTCCTCAACTCGGAGAGGCCAGGTTTCACAAGCATAGAGCAAAACTGCTCTCACCGACGCGTTGTAGATCCGGCCTTTTACAGCCAGACTAACATCACGAAGGCGCCAAAGGTGGCCCAGATTGGCATAAGCCGCTCTGGCTTTCACTATTCGTGCATTGATCTCATCACTCACACCCCCACCAGCACTTATGCAGCTACCCAGATACACGAACTTCTCAACTACGTCTATCTGCTCACCATCCAGGGTGAGTACAGGATTAGAATCCTGCCAGTCTTGTAGAAGTACTTTGCACTTCGAAGGTGCAAAGCACATACCATACCTACGGACATTGATTGCCAACTGATTAAGTGCGGATTGCATGCCTTGGGCATTATCGCACAGTAAGACAATATCGTCCGCATACTCAAGGTCGAGAAGTCTTTCTCCAGGCAACAGATCCACACCACCATTACTTACATTCATCAGAGCTGTTTCCAGAATGTCATCGATGGCAAAGTTGAAGAGGAATGGTGAGATTGGGCAACCCTGCCTAACCCCACTGCTCGAATGGAACAATGGAGAGAGGTGGTTGTATGCCCTCACTCTGCCTGAGGTGTTTTTATACAGGGCTTTTAGGATGTTAATAAACTTCTCAGGCACACCCTTCTTCAATAGACAATCCCAGAGAACAGTCCTATCCAACGAATCGAAGGCAGCCCTGATGTCAAGAAACACTACGATTGTTGGCCTTTGAAAAGTATGGCGGTGTTCTAACATTTGGCGGAGGGTGAAGATATGATCAATACATCCTCGACCAGAACGAAACCCAGCCTGCTCCTCGCGAGTCAATCTTTCTCGGGTTTTGAACAACCTACGAAGAATGACGGAAGCCAATAGCTTGGACGCAATCGGAAGTAAACTTATCCCCCGATAGTTGTTACAAGAACGACGTGAACCCTTTTTAAAGATAGGGACAACTATCGACTCATTCCATGACGTTGGTACACTCTCTAGTTCCCAAACCTTTGTAAACAACGTCGTCAATTCCTTAGTCAAAAAGTCACCACCATCTTTAAAAAGAGCCGGAGGTAAGTCATCTGGGCCAGGTGATTTGTAACGCTTCAAGAGTTGGAGTTCCTTGCGGACTTCCTCCTCATTTGGTGGATCAGTCGTCACCGGCCATGGAGGGCAGGACAGTCTGACCGATGTTACCGGAGCAGCAGGCCAGTTGAACTGCCCTTCGAAAAATTCTGCCCATCGTCCAAGACGTCGATGGATGTTAGTGATTGGCATCCCATCATCCTCGCAGATTGTTTCACTCACACCAGACTTCTTGCTGCCAGTGGCTCGGATGAGTTGGAAGAGCTTCCGGTAGTTACCAGATGCAGCTGCTGCTTCCAGCTCATTAGCACGCATCGACCACCAGGCTTCTCGGTCCTTACGCAAGCTTTGCCCGATTTCCTTACGTAAAATCCTTCGTTTATGGTCAAACTCACGGTTACCCGGAGTAGACCGACGGGCTTCAATGAGTTGTAAGGAACCAGAAGAAACCCAGTGCTTAAAAGCGGGACGTTTCGCAAACCCACAACTGACTGTTCCCGCCATTTTCATGGCGTCATGCAATTGCAACCAATGCTCATCTATACTTTTCGGTGGAGTGGTAGCTAGCCTAGAGGCTAGCTCGGTTCGATACTTACTTGCAACAGAAGTTGCAACCAGCTTGCTAACATCAATCCGTTGATGGCGTTCACTTCGTTGTCCACTGAAAAGTAAGGCAAGATTGGCGCAGACCAAGGCATGGTCAGAGTCCAGATAGGTACTCCAAAAGGAGCGGCAGTCTTTTACACAACCACGCCAGCGGTAGCTGATCGCGATGTGATCAATCTGAGTCCAGGCTTGGGATGCAGAGGGAGGACGCCAGGTGGCACATCGGCGATGACTGTGCCGAAAGTTAGTGCTAGCCAGAAACAGGTTGTGGTCTGCGCAAAGTTGCAGTAGACGGTCCCCGTTATCTGACCTGCGACCAACGAGTCCCCATCGGCCACCTAAACGACTCTCTTCTGTGCCTAGACGCCCGACCTGAGCATTCAAGTCTCCGGCTAGTACTACAATATCTGTCGAACGCACTTTCTGGAGAAGAACTGATAACTGGTGGTAAAACTCATCCTTGATTGCATCCGGGCTGCAATCTGTCGGGGCATAGGCGGAGATGACGAAAAGACATCGTTTCTCACGCCGATTTCTTCTCACTTTGATGGAACTTTCTAATCTAACAGCACATAACCGACTGTTAATGGGGATCCAATCGACTAGTGCTGCCTCAGCTCTAGCGCTTAGTGCGACACCAACGCCAGCAAACCAGACGAAGATGCCACAGGGTCCCCGGATAAGCGCACGTAAAACAGGCTTTTCGAAGCGACAGATGGAGATCGAATTTGTAGTACTTCGCCAGAGTCTTGAATACGGGTCTCGGATAGACAACACACGTCGATATTAAGACTTTCCAAAGACATAGCCAGCCCTATCTGTTGTCCGACCTGCATAAATGTGCGAACGTTGAAGGCAGCCAGTTTGAATGATGCACGTGGTTTCAGAAAATCTGCTTCAGTCCTCGTATTCGGTGGTAACATACAATTTACAACCGGACAGTGACTCGAGAACGTTTAGATACAGTCGGAAATCCACCAAAGACGAGCCGCTGTATAAGTATAAAAGAAGGTGAATAATGTGGAAAATAATAATAATAATGATAATAATAACAATAATGACAATAATAGTAGTAATAATATTAGTATTAATAATGACAATAATTGTAGTGATCATAATTTGAATCAATTGATTGTTTTTCAAAGCGACAAAGGTAATTTCCATGGACATAGAGTTCATCATTTGTGTGTGGGCTGTGATACTGCCCGGGTGCCCAAACCGAAGCAGGTGGTTCTCTTAGGGGGCCACTCCCCGAGCCTTTGACCTAAAGGTCTAACCCACAAGGCAGTGGAGCATCGTAAGGAGATGCAGTCCCATGGTAGCCGGTGACCAACGATTGGTTCATACGCCATTCGTTCCCGCAGGATACTGGAGCCCATGTGCACCATTGGTTTGGAATCCGGTTAAAGCGCCGGACATTCGCTTTTCGTCCTCTCATTTTCGTAAACAACACCCCCGCCACGAGAAGGCAATGAGTAGGACTTCCCTGGCAGAGGCTATATACGCGTGGCCGTGTGAGAGTATTTCGAGAGGGAGAGCGGACTCTCCCCACTCTCGGCCGTACCAGGGCATTCAGGGGGCCATACCAGGGCATTCAGGGGGCTCAAATCATTACGTCAAGCAGGGATAGGATTCAATGCCTCGCAGTGTGAAAGCTGCTCGAGCACGTACGTCCCTGACTCATTTATTTTCAATTAGCAGCCAAAATAACACATTTCTTTACGAACTAATGTGATCATAAAATCAAATACGGCAAATAGATTTTGAAAACATAATGTAAAGTAGTCGCACAGCTAATCTAAGGAATTATAGAAATATTATAACTTATTACTAAGGTATCATGTGGTAATTCACTAAACAACTGATATTACAAATAAAACAATCTTCATATCTTACCAAACTACGTAAAATATCCTCATCTACGCCTGTTTTAATTGCTAAATGGAAGGGTGTGAGACGATGTGCATCACGTACACAAGCATTCATATCAACTCCAATTTGAATAAGAAGAAAAATAGCTTCACGATCGAAATTTTCTATTGCAATATGTAGAAAATTACGTCCTGAACTATCAACCTATTCATAATGCAAAATATTACAATTAGAAATTAAACGATAATGTTTATGTTGGAATGTTAACTCAATGCTAGGGAAAATGAATAAAACAAACAGCCTATAAGAAAGAGGTTCAAAAAGACGTTTACTTTCCAAGTTGAATATGTGATATAAATACACCCGAACTATTATTATTATTATTATTATTATTATTATTATTATTATTATTATTATTATTATTATTATTATTATTATGACTTATTAGGCGTGAAGATTTCTTTTCCGTTTCCTCCGTTTCAGGTCCCTAAATTACGAATTCATAGACAAAATCTTGGAAAGTGAGGAAAATATGTACAAATTAGTTAGTATGTTGTAATACATGTTATCAGTCACACAACGGAAGCTACTCAAATCTTTAAGTAAATGAAATAAGGGTAGATTTTAAATAATTAACTGATAGAAAAAAAATTTATAGACTACTAAACTACCATTTTCATATTATATAAAAAATTTCCGTTATGAATTGATAAGCTGACTTTTTTTATTTCCTGTAGTTACGAACACAAATATGTTGTATTTTTACTTGCACAGTCCCTGAACAATAACAGTCATCAGTAAAAGGGGGTTTATGAAGATTGTTAGAATATTTTCTTTACGTCACGAATTGATCTTAGACAACCATTGAGAATCAGGAAGCACTGAACAGCTGTTTCTTCCAAGCATGAGACTCCTAAATAGTGGGCATCCACTACCTTAATATGACTTGAATATACGGACTTCATTTTTCATGACGAGAGCTTAACTATGAGATGTCTCACTAGCCATCAAACGTTTATATATTTAGCTTTAATCTATTTGCCACATTGCACAACCATTGCCATCCATGAGTAGTTTGCTGCTCACACCATAGTTGAACTCCACTGGCCACGAAGACGGTTGGGTAATATTCAGAATCGATCTAAATTAGATATGTAAACCGCTGAACAGAGGCTCAGTGGTCTAAAGGCTAATCGCTCTCTGAAAAACAAAAAGGTCGAAGATTCGACCTTCATTAAGGTGGTAGATCCCCAATGGTTAGAAGACCCATACTAAGAGGAAACAATTGTCTAGTGTTTCCTAGTTTCAAATGGTTGTCTAACTAAGGTTAGTCCGTAATATAAACTATAAAATAACAAAATCAACCGAACTAATGGTATGGCATTGAAAAATGAATCAAAAGCTAACCAATCTACATAACATTTAAAAAAACTTTCATTCTTAATCAGTAACTAACTTGTAAAGCTAAAGAAGGGTCTTTTTTCAAAAGACTTTGTGCAATTGCACGTTGACGTAAATCCACAGCTACATGAAATACGGTGTATGCTTGTGCATCACGAACGGTATAGTCTATTTGAGGTGCTTCAATTAACAGGTTGGCAAGTTTTTCATTTTTTGATCTGATTGCTAAATGTAAGGCAGTTTCACCATTATAATCCTAGATGAAGTAAGACAACATGAAAATATTGATCGCATCGTGTCTATATATATGGGATAAAGACATGATACTCATGTAATTTATTCCAAACATGATCATTATAATCCTCTTAAAGTTTTTTCATGATAACACCAAAACTTACTGTTTTCTACAGTACTATTAATGCATACAATAAATATTTAGACTAACGGACAGTTTAGCCAAACGCTTCACAAAAAATACAGGTTTAGGTTCAAAGATAATGGATAGTGCGTGTGTGTGTAGGTGAAATCCGATAATCTGTAAAAAAAACTCGGTTGGATTCAAGGTGGATGAGCAGAGGGGTGACCTAAAACTATATTTAACTAAAATATGACATCTATTATAGAAGTTGCCAATAAAAGGATGGTTAAATTAGCCAGCGTTAAACTACTGAGTACAGGGGTTCGAAACTTGCTACAGCTGATTTGGTGTGAGCAGCTAGATAGATTCGCAAACATATGAAATAATGACCCGAAACAATGATAATAAATATTGACTTAGCATGATGAGCTTCGCTAAATTATTAACAATAAAACTGAAGACTTACACCGTGCTTATAACTCAGATAATCATTTAATTATTTTCTAATAATTATGTTATGTTGAAATGAATAAAATAGGATGACAAACTTCGAAAGTCAATTCTTGGGATTTTAGTACGCCTAATTTTTAATATGTATGCAGTAAAAGACAATGAATAAAATTTTCAAATTCCACAAATTGTAAGATTTCATTTGACTCATAAACTGTTGGTATATTATATGATGCTCAAAGCTTATACATGAAATTCGTCATATAAGTTTAGTATGAGGATTTTGTACCGAAAATGATATTTTTCGACTTTCATCGGATCTGTTAATTATGGTTTGTTGTGGACCATGATACCTTTGGTCAATCAGATGTAAGCCAAATGATGAGCCTAACCAATTCTCTACGAATCTATGAGATACTAGTATTAAAACAAAATACAACTTTCCTGCAGAGTGTAAGAATTTTGAAATACATTTTATAGATCGCGCCTAGTCGCTAATTGAAACGTATGTATAGATGATCCCAGGACCATAGATCAAAACGTTTAGCTGGCAAAATACCAAACAAAAATTTACTACGCTACAAAATACAATGAGAAAAACGTGAAGAATCTAAATCCTTTATCACATATACAAGAGATTGTGTAGATAATGAATGATTAAGTAATCGAGAAGAAATGCTGAATCTGAGCTTTAACCTTTTGATTAGTGAGTGGTTCAAAGGCCATGACACCCCACTCCAAGAATCAACTTTTTATCAGTATTAAGGTATCACATCTAATTAAAACTACAATGTGACATTCAAAAAGTCTGTAAAGCTTACTCTTTGTTGATAACTTTTGAAAGTATTCCAGTTGATTAGTTACTGTTACTTTCAAAATTAACATTTCATGTGAAGTTGTACATACCATTCACAACTTCATTGGGTATCTCTATCTATAAACAATTAATTCACTTTTTACAAAAATATTCATACAATTTTTTATTGATGCAATAAAGACACTTACCTGTTGGTTAATATATACACGATTACTGGAGATAAGTACTTGAACGAGTTCATACATTCCAATTAAAGTGGCCATATGCAGTGGTGATCGAGCTAATTCTGGTATAATATGATCTGACTTTTTCTTATCTACTGAATAATCAAACTGTGCAAACGCATTGACATCACAGTTTCTAATTGAATAATTGTTTGACAATAACAGTTGAGAAAGAAAAACTAATGAAAATAGATCCTAATAAAGTGTGTGTATGTACAAAAATATTTTATACAACGGTTTGAAAATTCTAGACTCCGATTGACCGAACTTTCAGATCCACGCAGTTTTCATCTGCTAGAGAATAGTATTCACAATCCCACAAATAATAATCCAACATTATACAGCAAACACACATGAGCAACAAAATAGCGATTAGTTTCCCATTCGGATTCTTTCATTGACAGTGTTCTTTAGCACTATAGGAAAAAGTAGTCAGAAACGCATTTTCTGTGACCATAATCACGTTCGAAACTAATTCACTATTTGCACTTGCTTTATTATTTTGGGCTCACGATTAGGGAAAGAGATAGTTAACCCACAAATTACTGATTTTTTACGTTTAAAAATGATAATTGACTCCATTTTTGAAACTAGTAATCTTATTAGACGGGAGGTGACAGTGATCCATAATGGGAAGGGAGACAAATATTTAATTGATGGCTGGGTCAAGATGAATAGTAAGGTAAAACCACTATGGTATCAATGTTTTCTGACATGATTGGTGGTCCATTCATGAATTAATGAACACTATTTAATTTGGTGTGGTATACACATATCCTTACAAATATTTATACTTTTATTTGTACTATATATGATATACCGAATTTGTTTAAAAATAAGATACTTCAGTGATAATCAATAAGACATTTAGTATAAGAAGGAAAATAGGTCTTTACAACACAGTGTTTTGTGGTTTCAGAAACTATGTTAGTTAGTAATAATCGACATAGGGCCTGGTACAAATGTATGCCAGCACATGATGTTATAGAACATCGCCAAGGGGAAAACGAAATCGAAAAGATGTATACCAAAAGCATTGCGGAAATCGATAGTGATGAGAAAAAGGAAATATTAGATAAAACTGTATTAAAAACAGCGGATACAGTCATGCAATATGAAATAATATTTAAACTATAGACTTAGGAGACACAAAGTGAATGGATCCGCGCCACTGAAACCAACTCTGAGATAAATTAACAAACACTAACATACTGATTCATCTAACCGACTTTTGAGTAGCCGAAAACAAATACTTAAGCAAAGGTGGTTGAATTAAAAGAAAGTTCATTCTATTTAGCATATCATTGTCAAGCACAGAGGTGCTAACCTATGAGTAAGGGTTTCAACTGACTGTGAAGTTCCCTACACCTTAACGTTAGGCAACCCTAAAATGTGAATACACTGAAGAAGTATTATCAAAACCTAAGTACAATGGTAGCAAATATTAGGTAAGAATAGAAAATCATTCAGTAACACGAAAATAGGTATACTACCACTAACCGTTTCACTAGAAACACACCAGCCTCTTCATTGTTCTCATGGATTGCCCGATGTAGTAGAGTGACTTTTGCATTTGTTCCATTAAACGGTGCCCATGAATTAACATCAGCTCCATGATTCACCTAGTGATCAAAAATTCATACTTTAAAATTAATGAAAGTGACAAGATGAGTAAATTACCCAAACTACTGATTACTTTCAAAAATATAGATATACTTAAAAATGTGGTGAATTATTGAAATTTTCGAATGAACGCAATTTCGTAGTTTATTTTTTCATTTAGAATATGTATTCTGATCAACTGAACACGCTACTTTTTACATTTCTTTGACGTTATACATGTCAAACACAATAGATATTGTTTTTTATGTAGTATAACAAATTTTGATCCGGGTATTTTATGCAACAGACTTTATTAAATCACTTTAAGCATGACTTCATAAATGGATATATAATTTCACTCAATCTAACTTTCAATTATTTTTTTAAGTAATTCGATCTTCCTTTGGTTAATAATTACTTATTACTTACTTACGCCTGTTACTCCTCGTGAAGAAGCATAGGCCGCTCACCAGCATTCTCCATCCAACCCTGTCCTGGGCAATCCTTTCCAGCTCCTTCCAGTTGTTATTCATCGTTTTCATATCTGCTTCTATTATCCCACGTAATGTGTTCTTTGGCCTTCCTCTATTTTGCTTCCCTTCAGAATTCCAAGTTAGGGCTTGCCTCGTGATGCAGTTTGATGATTTGCGTTATGTATGTCCTATCCATTTCCATCGTCTTTTCCTAATTTCTTCTTCGGCTGGAAGCTGGTTTGTTGTCGCCCACAAAATGCTGTTGCTGATGGTATCCGGCCAGTGTATGTTGAGTATCTTGCGAAGACAGCTATTTATAAATACTTGTACCTTCTTGATGGTGGTTGTTGTAGTTCTCCAGGTTTCAGCTCCGCACAGTAGAACTGTCTTGACATTCGTATTGAAGATTCTCACTTTGATATTGGTTGAAAGTTGTTTTGAGTTTCATATGTTCTTCAACTGTAGGAATGCGACCCTTGCTTTGCCAATCCTTGCCTTTACGTCTGCATCTGAACCACCTTGTTCATCGATGATGCTTCCCAGGTATGTGAAGGATTCTACATCTTCCAGAGTTTCGCCATCAAGAGTGATTGGATTGCTGTTCTCCGTGTTGTATTTGAGGACCTTGGTTTTCCGCTTGGGTATGTTGAGGCCTAAAGATGCAGAGACTGCTGCTACACTGGCTGTCTTCATCTGCATCTGTTCGTGTGTACGTGATAGGAGGCCTGGGTCATCTGCGAAATCCAAACTGTCTAACTGATTCTGAGCTGTCCATTGTATTCCGTGTTTTCCTTCAGATGTCGAGGTCCTCATAATCCAAACGACCACCAGAAGAAAGAGGAAGGGAGAGAGTAAACAGCCTTGTCTGACTCCGGTCCTTACTTGGAATGCATCTGTCAGCTGTCCTCCATACACGACTTTGCATTATAGTCCGTCGTATGAGTTCCGGATAATATTGACAATCTTCTCAGGAACTCCGTAGTGCCGAAGAAGTTTCCATAACGTCCTCCTGTCTACACTGTCAAATGTCTTTTCATAATCAATGAAGTTGATGTATAGTGACGAGTTCCACTCAACTGATTGTCCGACGATGATCCGTAGTGTTGCAATTCGGTCTGGGCACGATCGATCCTTACGGAATCCAGCTTGTTGATCTCGAAGTTGGGCGTCTACTGCATTTTTCATCCGGTTCAGCAACACTCTGTTAAAGACCTACCCTGGTATTGACAGTAGTGTAATGCCTCTGTAGTTTTCACATTTGCTCAGATCTCCTTTCTTTGAAATCTTGACGAGGTGTCCTTCTTTCCAGTCCATCGGCACTTGTTCCTCCTCCCAAATCTTTTGGAATAGAAGATAAAGCATGCTTGTGGTTGCTTCAATGTCTGATTTCAGTGCTTCAGCTGGTATGTTGTCGGGTCCCGCTGCTTTCCCGTCCTTGATTTGTCTGACGGCCATTCTGATTTCTTCCTTCGTTGGTGGGTTGACGTCTATGGGAAGATCTGTGTGTGCTGGTTCGATGTCCGGTGGATTCATTGGAGCCGGCCTATTCAGGAGTTCCTCGAAGTATTCTACCCATCTGTTCCGCTGTTCTTGAATTTCAGTGATTGGCTTGCATTCTTTGTCTTTGACCGGTCTCTCTGGTTTATTGTATTTCCCTGATAGTTTCTTCGTTGTATCGTAAAGCTGTTTCATATTTCCTTCTCTATCAGCTTTTTCCGCCGTCTTTGCTAGTTCTTCCACGTATTTCTTCTTGTCGGCTATAATGCTCCTCTTCACTTGCTTGTTTGCTTCTGTGTATTCAGCTTGTGCTTGGACTTCCTCTGCTCGTGTTCGGTTGTTGTTAATTGCTGCCTTCTTGTTCTTCCTTTCTTTGATCTTGTCCAGTGTTTCTATAGAGATCCACTCCTTATGATGGTATTTCTTTAGGCTCAGAACCTCTTGACACGTTGAAGTTAATGCTTCCTTGATGCCTTTCCAATTGTCCTCCATAGTAGTTTCTTCTTCCTTCAGTAGATCTTGTAAGGCTTGGAACCTGTTGTTGAGAGCTATCTTGAATTCATTGAATCTGTCGGTATCTCGAAGGAAGGCCGTATTGAACCTTTGTATTGCTGTTTGTCCAGTTCTTTTTTAGCTTCAGTTTTAAATTGGCTACAACTAGGTGGTGATCTGAAGCTCCGCCTGTAGCTCTTCTAGAGTTACTGCCGGTCCCAAGCCCGGGTAAAAGAAAAGGGTTGGGAATGGGGTTAGCGTCCCCATCCCGTAGAAAACTAACTCGCTAAAAACGCTTTTGTTAATAATACTTTTGTGTAATTCAAAAATTGAAGCACAGTACTATACTGCTTAAATTGAATAAATCCAAATTGAAGCTTAGAAAAAAACTACACATTGAAATTCTCGTGAAAAATCCACACTCTAAACGTTTTGTAAATTAGGACCATAAACTGGATTTTAAAACTACTGGGAAGAAATAATAAGTTGAAGATCGTTAGCCAAAATTGACTAAGTGGTAAGTGTGAAATTTATAGTCACAATTAAAAAATAAGAAATTTTAGGGGAAAAGTTTTCGAAAAAACCATCATAAAGGGAAAAGCATTAAGCGATATTGACTGGACAAGTAAGTTTGGTTATATAAAATAACTGGTAGGTTTCATAGTGGTTGGTACATATCAGAGAAGAGTATCTTCTATATCACGGGAACTGATGTGATTCGCTAGAAGTTCTAAAACTGATCACTCGATGCCGCAGCTGAGGGTAACGTCCTGTAAAGCTGATATGTGTACGTTCATCGGTTAGTAACTTACCGGCAACAGAAATACATAGGTTGTCATACAACTTAGTTAATGTTGTATGGTCCTTTATACAATCAACAATTACGTAATCAATCAACAGCTAAATTATCTATGAAATCTATTGATTCAAAAATATATGATCAATGACACATGATCTAAGTAGATTATTTCATACAAATAATTAAAACCACTGTTCGCATTTGTTAACTGTTACTTATTACATTTGTCTAGAAATCGCTGAACTAGTTAAAAAGCGTTTATATTGCGAACAAATAAGTATATGATAATGATAAACACATCGAATCGAATGGTAGTAACAAACCAAAATTTTGTTGGGAATCAATTGCATTTTTTCGATTCATTATAGCCTACAGATTAGTGTTCATTTTCTAATGTAACCTAGCTTCAAGTTTCAAGTATCATACAAACACAGGATGTAGGCTTTGAGTATGAGATGAAAATTATTTTCGTTGTTTCAAGTAATTTAATGCTAGGTCAGTATAAAAAAATAACAACTGAAGTCTCCACTAACTTTGTTAACTTGTAAATTATAGACTTTATTTATGCTATTTATTCAGATTAGAAAGAAGCGCTCCTACATCAGCTTAACCCCAGATGTACATCAACTGACAAATATTGATCAGTTTGATACTAAACACATGAATGACATAATATGCTTAATAATAATAATAATAATAATAATAATAATAATAATAATAATAATAATATAGTAGCACAAGATACATTGATTGACACGGAGCAGAAGTTTCAGAATTGCTAAAATAACAAGTTGTATGGTATGAGACACCAAACAAGGCTAATCAAAGTCATTAATTTACTGATATTGTAAGTATATCAGAAAGGTCAATCGTTGGTAATCAGAAATGACCTAAAGGATAAGTGCATCTCATTGGCTAAAAAATGGATTAATTTCCTAAGGATTTCAGTGGCATATATATATATATATATATATATATATATATATATATATATATATATATATATATATCAATGAGTAATTGTGCATATTATTCGGTAGCTCAATACACTTTCTCGCCCACTCACGTGTGGTTATTTGGGGGGAGGGGGTTAGCGCCCAGACACCCTGGGTATCAGTACCACATTTCAGACACCTCTTGTTACAACATTCACGTAAGGATCTAATACGGTGAACTATATGCCGATAAGAATAAATCACTCTTAGTACTTACCTTTTCATATTTAAACTGTGGAAATTTGGTAGAATTGAGTGGAAAACACTTAATAATAAGGAGAATGTTTATATCACTTACTAAATAATCAGCTACTGTCCATCTTCTCAATTTCAATGCAGTCCATAGAGGGTTAATATATGACTGACAGTCAGTTTCGCTGAATAATTTTTAAAATGCAACAAAAGAATAAATAAAATGTGGTGTTTAATTACTAAACTTTTCATTTAGATAAGAAAGTGAATGCGGAATTTCAAATTACTTATTTATTCACAGAAGACAGTTGATAAAGTAGAAATAAACAAATGATTTGATGTCTTTTTATTGCCAAAACCAAATATGTAAACTAAAAGTAGCAAGGAAAATATCAGCTCTGTCTATTAAAAACCAGAGGACAGTACTTAATTTTTGGCAGGCTCGAACGGATCACAATAAATAAAGTAGCAATGAAACTCAGTAAATATTTCTGTATTCTCCCTTGAGATAGAATTTTCGTACGGAGCTAGTCATACAACCAAAGGCTTCATCAAACCAAATGGGAGAATTCCGACCTGCAGTCAAGCGACCGAAAGTCAAGCACATTAACCATACCGAACACCATTCATGACACAAAGGCTGCTATATCCAGCCCTATTGGTTACTGGAATTTTAATTTCGACAACACTATACTCACTCGGTTTAAATTGTCTATTCTGGTTAACATATTTTGGCAAGGTTGATTTCTATGGGGTGTAGTTGCTGACTCCATGCCCAACCATCCACCTTTACTCGGACATGGAACCTTCAGTAGCCATAGAAGGGACGTCACTATACCAAAAATCGGAGAAATCAACATGGCCATCAAAAAATCAACAGAGGAAAAGCAATAGGACCACACAACATACCAGCTGATGCACTGAAGTCACACGCAGAAATAACTGCGAATATGCACCTATTTATGAATTGGGGGGAAGAAAATTGCCACCGACAGACTGGAAAGAAGGATATCTCATCAAGATACCAAAAAAAGAGATCGCAGAACGTGTGAGAATTACACAGACGTCACACTATTATCGGCGACAGGAAACGCTTGTTGCTGAAACGGATGAACGATTCAGTAGACAAACAGCTACGAGACCAACAGGAGGGATTTCGTAAGGATCGGTCGTGCACAGCCCAAATTGTGGCACCACAGATCATCGTTGAACAATCGGTCGAATGAAACTCGTCATTATACATCAACTCGATTCACTATGAGAAAGCGTTTGACTATGTGGATAGGAGAACTTTATGGAAGATTTGGAGTTCTTGAGATTGTCAACATTATACTCATACGACGGACTACACTACAAAGTCGTGTAAGGAGAAAAGCTGACAGGCGCATCCTGAATGAGGGCCAGAGTCAGACAAGGCTGCGTACTCCATATCTGACGAGAAACACGTAATACAATGACCAGGTTAGATGCAACTAGACGATTTGAACTTCACAGAAAACCTAGCTCTTCTATCCCATACAAGCCAACAAATTAAGATGAAGACAACTAATGTAGTATCATATCTCAACATGTACAAGGGAAAAAACAGGATCCTCAAATACAACACAGAGCATCAACACAATCACACTTGATGGAGAAGCTCTGAAAGAGGTGGGAACTTGCACGTACCTGGTGAGCGTCATCGATAGACAAGGAGGATCTAATACAGATGCAAACGCATAGGTCGGCAGATCAAGGCCAGCATTCACACAACTGAAAAATATATGGGACTTCAAACAACTATCAAACAACATCAAAGTGAGGATCTTCAGTACGAACGTCAAGACAGTTCTATTGTACGGAGCTGAAACGTGGAGAACTACTACAACAATCATAGGAAAAGTACAAGTATTTATAGACAATTATCAACGCAAGATACCAAATGTTCGTTGACTTGATAGCATCAGTAACAGCTTACTGTAGGAGAGCACAGACTAGCTTCCAGTTGAAGGGGATAATAGGAAAAGACGATGAACTTGATGGATAGGACATGCATTACGGAAATCACCAACTGCATCACAAGGCAAGCCATAACTTGGAATCCTGAAGGGAAAAAGAAAGAGGCAGAAGACAGAATACATTGTGTTGGGCATTGGAGGCAGACATAAAAAAATCAACAGCACTTGGCGACAACTGGAAAGACTTATCCAGGATAGAGCTCGATGAGGAATCCTGGTGGGCAACCCATGCTCCACGGGGTAACATGAGTAAGTGAGTGAGTAATAATTATCAAATCATTGACGATAATTACAAAACATAACCTAAAAATGCACAATGATCCGTAAATGCTATCGATTTTGCGTATCTATTAAACGATAAAGAGATCACCAAGGTATGACTGCCTGAATTGGTGGTACTAAGGGGGTTAACATCAATGTGTAAAACATCAAATGAGGAGGAACATGTTCAAGAAAGTGTATTTAGCATCCAGTTGTCATCTGAATACATGAAATCAGTAACAATAAATCAAGAGATTTATGTATAAGCATACAAACACTACATTGGCTTTCTGAAACTAATACGTTTGTTAAACTTCCGGTGAAATAAAATGAAAAAACCGATCATGTCATTGTGAGCAGCTGAAAGGCAATAAACGGTTCCCAATTTTTAGAAACACGCATATCGTTTTTGATCATTTACGAACCATACATCTTTATTTTTTACATAGTTTTCATAGACATCCGCCATATTAAAGTTGCCCAAAATTTTTCTCGATCAGTAAAAAATTCAGTCACAAGACCATATGCTACTTCAAATGTAACCGATTGGATATACATATCACATTCACTGACATAACTAAGTAATATAAATACAATAATACATCAATCAACGAATAATCAAATTATAAAAAATGCGTTGGAATAACATCCATAACATATACGGTTAGGATGAATTTGGTAAATAGACACGAAAACAAACATAAAGGAGACAAATATTTAAATATAACTAATATTTTTAAGACCAGTAGAAACTATGAAATAATACTTCTCATTAATATCAGCATCATGTTCGACCAAGAATTTCACAACTTCGAATTGGTCACGTTCAATGGATTGAATCAATAAAGATGGCTTATTACATTTTGTGGGTATTTTATTTAGAAATGATTGAATAGCGTTATCGGATTCATTGAATTTAGAGTCATGACTAGCTGATGCATCCTTTGATTGATTACACATAGATTCTAATATTCTCTTGACCAACTGAAACTGCTCCGACCACAAAAGTAAGCTGATGACTGAGTCACCAGACTCATTCAATAGCAACCAATCAACATTAGCTGTGGATAATAAATAGAGATAAACAAAGCGTAAGGAACATATGCCTGGTATCTAACTAGATAGATTACTAAGGTGTAAGTAGAAATTGACAGGTAGGAAATTAAATATGACGAGAAAGTATAAAAAAAAAACTAGACAATTTACACAATTGAATTTTGGCCCATGAATTATTATTTAAGAGATATTTTGGTTAACACAACGACCAGTGGTTGTAGTTTCCACAGAATGAGCTAGATTTAAAAACCAGTTAATTGTCTGTAAATAGTAAATAAATCAGAGCTCAATTCTATGTTTATGGAATACATCTTTTCTGTGGCATCAACTATCACGAAATCTGCACGTTAACTAGAACTCGTTGTTAACAAATCACATATATTCATCTTATTAGTAAAGTGATTACCGTCTGTCTTGTGAATGTGGACAAGTGAACAATTTTAGAGTTAATTAAGTACGCGCCTTGTATCTTAAAAAATTAACTTAAATCCTACGAAAAGAATTTCGTGAATTGTCATTTTAGAAGTTTAAAGTCGCACGCGAAAATAAAGATTTGGATTTATAAAAATCTCATTCACATCGACGAATTTTCAGGGTCACACCTAATGGTCTCACAAATAGTTAAAAAATTCCCCTTCCCTTATTATCACCAGCAATGATAAACAGACGTCGACGTATCTACTTATTTCTCAACGAATGGGTTTTTGGGATCAAAGAATAACACAGGATAGTGTGAATGAGTTGTTAGCCACTGCGTTTATTGGGTTGTTCAGTTACATAGCGTAACAGTCATGCTGAATTTGATTTCGACTAGCATATCAGGAACACAAAAACCATAAGACCGTGCACGTGCTACTTATGTTAAGCATGAAAAATGAAAATAGTGAATTTATGACTTGATTTTTGTCAGTCCTCCTGGACGGAACACTAAGAACACTAAGAAAAATATATCAAACACAAGCTGCCACAGTTTTCGAGAATATACATTTTATAAGGAAATCGCACAAATATACGACCACAATTTATCCAACCAACATATGACGACTGACTTAGTAAGAGTAGGTTTGAAGCGTTATCAAACTGATCGAACCATTGTATGAAACTGTCAAGTTGATACTTACTGATTTAGGTTATACGAAGAAGTTCCCCAAATGGTCTATAGAAATTCCCTAGTAAGAAGTGACTCAAAAACAGTTTCAATGACAGATGTGTCCAGTTTTAACATTTTATTATCATAAACATCTTAACATTCGTCTCTTTACTAAAAATTCGTTATTTTGCAACCAGCTGTCACTATTTGCGATGATATTCCAAAGTACAACAAAGGGGTGTGTGGTGTAATGGTTTAAGGAGAAATGACCTTCAAACGTCAAGGTTACGAGTGTGAATTCCACTCTACCTATTTGGGTTAGGGTAACTGGATAGAATAATTAGTCATGAGGCAGTAACTTTAAAACAGTAGGTTCCAAGTACAAACACCGTTTCATCGGCATAAGTTTGAACAATTAGACAGTATCATTAAACTTCACATTAAAAAGTCTGGTTGAAAGCTGAGTACACGAATCTGTACTTGTTATATTTCTCATAAGTCATCGTACAAAAATGAATGCATTAAATCTAAGTATGGAAGCTTATATGAGGTTATTGAAACAGTTCAAATATATCATTCAGTCAGTCTTGAATTTCATTAGCTAATTAACCATAAACATTACCATATAACACTTTATTGATTATCTTGAATGCAATAGTTTAACTGGTTTACTAAGTGCATGTTTAAGTACTCACCTTTCAGTCGCATTTTTTGTGTGAGAACTTATGATAAACTCCAGCTACCTGATACTAAAGTAACGTGGAGTTCAAACTTGTGACCTAATGATTGAAAGCAAAAGTTACTAGACCAACAACCCACTTTAAGTTACTCAACGTATAATCTACCAAATCCAAACAGATATACTGAAAAGAGACTATAAAGGAATAATGTATGCTGACTAACCGTTGTTTTCAAGATAAAATTCGAGTATTCCAAACATTTTGTGTTGTACAGCAAGATGTAAAGGACTGCAGTATATTTGTTGGGTAGACTTGTGGTCACTTTTAATTTCTCTCAATGATGATGAATCTAATACCGATGGAGTAGAAATAATAGTACCGTTAACTGCTGAGTCAGTGGATAAATGTGAACTATTCACTTGACATGATATATTATCCATAGGGTTAGATAAGAGATTGCAGTCATCATTACTTTCATAGTCATCGTCGAAAGGATTTAGCGACTTCGTAAAGTTCATTTGATTAGTTTCTTTCACACAAGTACTTTCGTAAGAAGTTTGTGACAGGATTTCCTAAATAGGACGAAAATTATCACTTTATGTCGTATTATTTTCTTGAATATGAAAACGATATGAAAAAAATCAGAATCTTATACAGAAATGAAATGAAATTTCATGCTCTAAACGAAATAAATTATTACGGTCAGATAAGTGTCAATAAGGACAGGGGATCAGTTAAACACCAATATGTAAAATTACAGAAATCAATCTACTTGCAGACAGAGCAAAAACAACGAGGTTTGAGGAATAAATGAATTCATTAGTCTATTTCACGGGTTCTCACCAACTGCATACAACTTAAAATAACAATTATTATTATCAATATTAACAAATGTTTTGTACACTCCAGTATGTGAAGTTTAGATAACTGTTTGAAAGATAAGCAAAATCACAATAATAATAAAAAGAATGGGGATACACAGTGTATGACTAGACATACGTAAGACAGATGCTGTAAAGGTAATGAAATTAATAATAAGTGATCGTGTTATAACTCACATGATGAAATAAGCAGATATACGAAAATCAATAAGATTGTGTAAGGTGTGTATAACAACAGACGGAATAAAAACAATATAAACCATTTGAACTCTATCCTGACAGCTGAACGATCATCATTAGGAAGAATCATGACGCCGTATTGTGAAAGCCGAGATTCTTCAGAAACCACAAGGTAGATTCCCATTCTAACAACCAGAGCAACAACTAACATTCCTTCGAGATACTGAAAAAACTCAACCAATTCAAGACAACTCTCAATAACAAGTTCCAAGCCTTACAGGATCCACTCAAAGAAGAGGAAACTACTGTGGTGGGCAATTGGAAAACGATCAAAGAGGCACTGACTTCAACTTGTCAGTAGGTTCTGGGCCGCAACAACCATCACCAAAACGAATGCATCTCTATCGAAACACCGGACGAGATTCAACAAAGGAAAAACAAGAAGACAGCAATTAACAACAGCTGAACAAGAACACACAAAGTCAAGGTACAAGCTGGATACACAGAAACAAACAAGAGATTGAAAAGAAGCATTAGAACCGACAAGCAGAAATACGTGGAAGACCTAGCAGCGAAGGCGCAAAAAGCTGCAAGAGGAAGAAATAAAAAACAACTATATGACACTACGGAGAAACTGGTTGAAGAATATAGAAAACCAGAGACCGGTCAATAACAAAGAAGGCAAGCTCATCGCTGACATTCAAAAACAACAGAATGGATGGGTGGAACACTTTGAGGACATCTTGAATAGACCAGCTCCATTGAATCCACCGGATATCGAAGCAGCCCCTACAGATTTTCCTATCAATGTCACTCCACCAACGATCGAAGGAATCGGGATGGCCATCGGCAGATCAAGAGTGGGAAATCAGTAGGACCTGAAAATATGCCAGCCGAAGCACTAAAGTCAGATACAGACGTAACTGCAAACATGCTTCACATTCTATTCAGGAGATTAAGAAAAGACGATGGAGTTGGTGGATAGGACATACATTAAGAAAATTATCACACATCACAAAGCAAGCCATAACTTGGAATCCTGAAGGGAAAAAGAAAGACGCAGAACACATTGTGCTGGGAGTTGGAGGCCGACATCGAAGGAATGAATAAAACTTGGAAACAACTGGGAAGATTTGTCGAGGATAGAGTTCGATGAGGAATCCTGGTGGGCGGCCTATGCTTCACGGGTTAACAGGTGTAAGTTACCGGTGTAAAATTGGTTACGAATGATCAGCATTAAATACCGTTGATTACAGTGTGTTTCTGAAACTACTCTTTCAAGAGTTTTCATATTTGAATGACTATTGTCCAAGATTAACGGGAAGTCGGTTGGTGTAAAATGATTTTTCGAAAGCATATTTGACATATAGAATTTCAATATGATACTAACAATAGATTAAACTATTCTGCCTATAGATATTTTTAGTAACTACGGGATTTACAAGAAATTAAGAAACTATTAAAGTTGGTAAAGTGAAATTCTACATAAATATTGTTTGACTGCTTTAGACATTATGAGCTAAGGGTACAATGCAGGACAGATTTATCAAATACAGTACATAACTTGAGTATTTTTGATATCGATTTTGATTGGATGAATGAGTTAGTAGAAATATTTGATGGTTGTCACGATAGTTGATCATTGTGAAATCATGAATATGAATAAATTATCATACAAAAATCATAAAATGTTTTTATTTTTAGTTAAGTGTGGATGCTATGCGTGTTGCTTTACTTCACTGATCAGGTGTTGTGAAAATCCTAGTGATAGTGTAATCGTGCACAAAACTCAAACACAAAAGCAATCGACTTATACCCTAACCTGTTGTTAAGATGAAGCAAATATGTAATTCAGTAACCTATTAAATTGCTAGTTACGTCGGTTAAATCTATTCGTCTTATAAATTGTAAACATGCATTTATTAGTCACTCAATGTACATCAACTATTGCCTAATTCAATATATTGAAATTTACCTATCGACCAGATAAGTAAATCATATATAATTTAGTGTAGTTTGATATAGTTTTTGAATTAGCGGTTAGATTATTTGTGGATTTTTTGTAGGTGCATAAGTAAATCTTCGTCTGCAGTCTTGCCTTCTCCAGTGTATTAAATCATATCAGTCTTGTGTTGTGGCAGGCAACAGTTTTTCAACAGTTATAACGAGTAGTAATATCGGTATCTTATTAAACCACAACATATATCTTCCTTCAAAAAATTAAGACTGTCGCAAAAATCTTTTCAGAAATTCGGATCACTCAAATGGTATATATTATACTACTACTATATTATTATACTACAGATATGGACCTACTAAATCCAAATGATCGATTTCTACTGACAAATGTACTTTTTGGACAGTTATTGGTACAGTTTATTAGGGAATTGAAAATTTCCTATTCGACTTATATTAAAAAAACCACAAAAACAATTATTTTAATAAATAATTAGATACTTAAAGTAATCTATAAAACATCCCGCTTTTTTAGCCCAATCGTTATTAAAAATTGTAATAAAACTGCAGTGTTAATTAAAAATTGTCCAAGATATATCTACCTCACTGTCTGATGTTATTATATTAACTTTGGAAAACCGTAAACGGTTTGGGTCAGTGTCGTTCCGCATAATCAAGCAATTGCATAAATTAGACAGTTCAGCTTCTACGGCAACATGAAAAACTGTTTCTCCTTGAGTAAATGACTCTAAAGTAGGATCACATTGTGAGTGATCAAGAAGAAATAAAGCAGCTGATTCCCATCCGATTCGTGAAGCAGCCAAAAGCAAAGTGTCACCTGGAAGTGGGTTCTTCAAAGATTTACCATTCAATGCAGAATAATGAACATCAGTAAATCTATAATTCACGTTAGCACCATTTTCAATCAACTGACTAGCGAAGTCATATGAATTACTTGTCAATGAGTTAGCTGCGAAGTATGCAAAGAGTATGAATGGGTAAGAAACAGTACAAATTGATGAAACCAAAAAAACAAAAATATGAATTCAAGATAACAGATATATTGTAAGAGACTTAAAACTTATCCAGATCGATAAACGACTTACAAAGCAGTTGAATATTATCAGAAAAAGTCAAAAACTTTAACCTTTACTAATTATATGAATTCGTTAATTAACCAATATGATGAGTTAATTAGTGTTATTATTTATTATTGCTCAACGCACTATCAGTGCACAACTTCGAGTTGGTTTTTTATACTTTTTAAAGCTCATCGTCATAAAAGCATTTACTGGTTGTCGCTTAGTCATCTTTAGCATTTCGAATATTTTACTACTACTGAGGATAGGGATATTACAATAAGAATAGTTGGCTGCAAAGTCAGCTATCCAAGCATTACACAGCTGGTGTTAATGACTTTAAAATATACCTGATTTCCATTATAATAAGCAAAATTATCAACTTTTCTGAATACGTCAAGGGTTTCAATTACGGATTTGTGATGAACTAACGAGAAGTAATATCAATGACTTAAGTTTTATATCTTTGTCCATTTGCAACTTTCTTGGAAAAATAAACTATTATTTACAGAACTATGGAAATCCAGTGTGTTCTTAATTCACATGCATGAAATAATGTATACAATAACTTTTCTGACATAATACATAATCTATTAGCTTTTTTCATATATGACTGGCTGAATTCGTCAAAAAAAGCTGTTCAACTTGGACGTTCAAAGTTTGGTGGATCCTTTTAAAAGCCAGAATGCACGATGGTAATACGCGGTATCTTTGGCACCTTTGTAATGCTAGTCTGACGGGTCTAGAATTTGTTGGATGTTAGTTCATTCTGTGTTCAATTACTGTTGTTTCCAAAGGGCTGTTAACATTCAGTGTCAACATCATCTTAGTAACATTGAGGTTCACTAATGTATGTTAGAGCACAATGACGAAATCTGAATCAGTCACCATTTTAAAACACTAGTTTTCGGTGGCTTGGTCATGTGTTAGGAATATCAAAACATTGACATCCACATTGTAATAATTGGCGATGCCAGGATAAGGTAATAAAAGAGAGGTGGTAGGTTTATGACATGGCTTCATAGCATAAAAGGAAGCTACATAGGATGGGCATTTGTTGACACATCATGACTCAATAGCTGTAGTCCTAGAAATAACTCAGGGGCTTAATACCTAATAAGATATGGCTCACAATAGAAGTAAATTCCGATTCCGCTGTAGTTTTCTTTTAGGTACATAAAAATGGGAACTCACTCATCTGAAAGAACTGGTCGTATTTTTACTGGATTGTTTCTCCTATTGTATACTAGCCTCATTCACTTTTGTTGATTCATTTACCTGGGTTCACACCTCTCTCTTTATCACTTCACAATTACACCTTATTTGCATGGCACGCATTTGTTTAGATGCTCAGTCGTATCAGTGTTTATGTTTATTAAATCAATCAATAAAATACACAAAGATCCGCTTAGATTCAGACTTGTTAACCAGTTACATAAACCTCCTATCTAAATTATTATATAAATTGCAAATATTTCCTTACAATGGCTAAGCGATTTATTACTATAAGTATTTAACAACGATTATCGAAATGATAACATACATTTAAATCCGTAAACACTTGGATCATGAAAATTGAACTTTCTGACAAGCGCTAACCACAGTGGACATAATCCTTGATTATTGGGTAAATCTAAATTAGGCTTCTTGGAATGATTGATCAGTAAATTAAATAAACTTGAATTATTGTGCAAAATAGACAAATGCAACGGTGAACTAAAAGAAAAGTGATTTTTTAAAACACAATGTTAATTCTCTCATTCGTTGAAACAATAAAAATATTATTTACATTTCACTATACCGTATTATATCGCTACACAAAATTTGGAAACTAAATCCATTTTGAATAGTTTTTTATGCAAACGTAATAGACAGCTAATCATTCAAACCTCCAGAATAAACAGAAAAACACCTTTAAACGGTTACTGTTTGTTTGGTCCTTTGTTTAAAGTATGTTTGGAATCGCAGAAAGTAATTTATTAGTTTTTCATTAGAATTAGAATGCTTAGGAAGAGAATTACGAGTGGTATTCAATGAAAGATACGATTACTTTAATCGTTAGTTGGAAATACTTTAAAACGATTAAAAAAGAGCTTCACTGGTGAGATTTTTTGGAAAGATACCTTGTAAACTAGCAAATGGAGTTACTCATATGGTTGTATACAATTTGAAGTATGTTGACCTGTTCAAGTAGTGACAAAAACTGTAAAGACATTGTACTTTTAAAAATTCTGATACTTCGCATATTCGTTTATTATTTGTTGAGATACTTTTAACACAAGCAACCACGAGAATGTCTACGAAAAACCGAGATATTATTTCACAGTATTTGTTTGGATGCTATGATTAAACGAAATACGATTAGTAGATCTGTTAAGTAAACATTAAAATTAAATATTACTATAAATCAGCTCCACGATCTAAGAATTTTGTCAAAAAATAGCTTACTTTCCGTCTATATCTTGGGAAGAAATATTAGCACTTTGTTGGATTAATGTTTTTGCTATATTTATCACAGCTTCTGACATTTCCTTTGCGTCGGTTACTGCAAGGTTATGAAGTAGTGTGCGAGACGACATTGAATCACAGAAATCACACTTGATTTAAAACAAAATACATTAATATTTATTTATTATTATCCAAAATCTAAAAGGAAATATTGATTCGAAATTGTTATATATGTTTATTGATGTGAAAAAGATTATTTTTCATAGGATAAACGAAGTTGTATATAAACTATTCCTAACTTTAGGAAAGACTGACTATAACTAAGAAATTTCTTACCTTGCGTTTTTACTAGTAGCATGAAGAGTTAAAAGTGTACGTATTAGGTAAATAGACAAGTAAGACCACATAGTACCTTCATTGTAAAAAAAACTACATACTTTCCTTATCTCTTTGAATAAGACGTTTTTCAGAAAATCGTACAAAAACTAGCATAAACATTGGAACTTTAAGAAGAATAAATACCTGGTACAATCCCTAGGAGAATGCTAGATGATATTGAGTAACCAAGGTTTATAATAGCGACAAAGAATGAATACAAAATTAGAAGCAGAGAATTGGGTATACAACATACTGATACTAATAACATAAAAAGATGGTCCAACTCAGTAATCAACAAACGATTCATGGAGTGGACTTGTAGCCATATAGTGTATGAAGAATGTATATACTACACGTCCACCTAAGTTGAATTGGGATTAAAATACGTCACAAGATCATTCAAAAACAGGAAATCGAATTGAGCTGATCTACCCCTACATGATCCGATATATACATACATTTTTGTACGCTTTTTAGGTACCACGGAGTAGTTTATTTATTAAAACACAAACAATGGTACAAGGAGGCACCAAATATATATGCTCCACACTTCATCATTCGATTTGTGCGAGGGCTGGAATACTACCCGGACGCCCAAACCGAAGCAGGCGGTTTTCTAAGGGTGCCACTCCCTGAGTCTCGGACCTAAAGGTCAAATCTACAAGGCAGTGGAGAAATGTAATGAAATGCAGTCCGATGGTAGCCGGTTACAAACAACAGGTTCACACGCTGTTTGTTCCTTCAGGATATTGGAGCCCATTTGCAACATCGGTTTGGAACCAGGGTTTTCCAACTCCTTTCGATGGAACTTCCGTGTCCACCAACCCGGTTAGTGTGCCGGACATTCGCTTTTCGTCCTCTCAATTTCATAAATAACACCCCCGTCGCGAGAAGGCGGTGAATAGAACTTCCCTGACAGTGGGTGTATATGTGTGGCCAACGGGTAGAAAGATCATTTGCGCCTATTCAGTCTTTCTCTATTTATTACTTTACATAACAGCCTAAATGTTCATCCTTAATTATTATTAGTAGCCGAATAGTTAATTCCTTAGATTAGTTCTTAAATCCATTAATGATGAAAATTCACAACACTTGAAAAAATGTACCGCTTTTAATCATTATAGCGACCAAATTACTAACCCAATAAATAAGCTCATTATTGTGTCATTTCCATGAACTATTTAGTTATTCAAAGTAAATAGTCATTTCATTTTATCTTATGACTCTTCAAAAGTGTATTCATTTAAATACACAGTTGACTGAATCCACAACTTTTGGGCCCTTTGAGCAATAACACACTTCGTCACATAAACAGTAATTAGATGGTTAGCCCAGACTAAGTACTACAAGAAGAAGTAAAAATTCCAACTACCCATCAAATTACTAAACAAGTAAATGGGCTAGTTAATATCTAACGTATGTCTAGAAAATTCACATTCTTGCTGTCATGATGTTGAATTTCTTGTTCAAACATTTCAACATACCACATTCACTAAACAAAGTTGATAGCTTCGGTGAACTATTAGATATCTAAAACAAATGCGAATCACTTTTTCGACAAAAAGAGTCAAGAACATAGTGTACTCATCTAAATAACAATTCTACAACTAAATGCCTGGAGTACTTATATCTCATGTACTACAATAATCTACTATTGTCGATTGGTCATGCAAAAATTGTGTTGAACCACAGATCAATTTCATTTTCTTAAGCAAATGGAAACATCAGAACAGAACGATAGAAGTAATGAGGTTCATAGTCGTAAACTGTCTGCCTCTACATCACGAATAGAGAACTCAAAGTAGAGGCCAGAATAACTACCGGAGTATGGTTTAAGACAACCGTAATTCCAATGAAATCATGGACCGGTAAATGTTAGACTACCACTGAAAACCTGAGAGAAATGGGTGGGGGTTTCACCCTAGTATGGGACTCAGCAGTGCTCGTCCACGATCCCGCACGCGGGGATTGAATCTAGGACCTTCGGTCTCAAGCGCGAACGCTTAACCTATAGACCAATGTGTCGGCATCTAACGGTGTTAATGTTCAACTTCAATTAACTCATTATATTGAAATTCAACAATCTCCATGACCCTACACTGATAAACCGTAATTTATCTGAACTTTCAAGACATTAAGGTTAAAATATTTACAAACCAATTACATTGGAACCATGAAGCAAGAGAAATTGGACAGCTTCATAATGGTTTTTTCTAAACGCAAACTGAGTAACAGGTTGCTTTTCGTCAGTAGGACCAATAAGTGCGTTTATATCTGCGCCTAGACCAATTAGTTTATCAGCAAGCTCGAAATGTGCATCCTTTAGGGCCATATATAACGGTGATAGACCATTTTCATTCAGTTGATTTACGAGGAGTTTAGCCTGGAACAAAGAATGTTAGCGAAATTGATGAGTTACAAGACTACAGTAATGGTAATAAAATTAGATATGTCATCTGTGGATGTTTAATTTCGTAGTAGTGTCAATCAGAGACACGGCACTTTGGGAACTTATTCCGTACACTAGGATATGAGAACACCAGTTATGTTAGATTTTAACTTACAGGACTGTGTTACTTGAATACTCTTAGTTGATAAGTGGGTTTCTAAGGACGAAAAATCTCACAAACCTCAGAAGCAATCAATATCTTCTAAATTCCACTCGGAGTTAAATAAGCAATAATGATAGTTCATTTCAGGTGAAACTCAACAAAATACAACTAGGAGGTAACCGAAGACTAGTTAAATAGTTCTTTAGCATTTCTTCTATCACATGAACTGTATGCTATAAACGTTTACCAATTGTGTCTCTGAGTAATATTTCTGAAAACATCACTATTCTCGAGAGAGTTAAATAAGAAGAAGTAGTTAATTTATAACTCTAAGGTACTTAAATTTCTTATATTACTGTAGTCTGACATTACATGTGATTACCACGTAAAAACTGTAAGGTCGTAGTAAAATTCCTTGCTAACTGTAATTAAAAGAGAAAGACAGTCACTGAAATCCCAGGTTGAAAATTTAGCTGCCTTATCATGGTAGGATGTCGCCGATTATAAAGTATTCGTCGCTTGGAATAAGTACTATGTTGATGATATTACTAAAAAACTTAAGTCAGGATAACAGTGTTAGGCCACAGCTGAACAATTTTTTGAATCTCACGATCCCAATAAGTGCAGCTCATAAGAAGTAATAGATGAATTTTATCGAAAGCTCCCAAACCTCCTTTAAAATGTTAGACGCTCTGATTTGTTGTTGTTGGTGGTGGTAGGTGATTGTAACGCTTAAGTAGATAGGCTAAGCCAAACCGAATGGATTACAGTGTAGCGCCTCCGCGAACGGAAAATGTCGACCGTCTTTTGCAACTACACTTCGGTAACTGTCTATTCTTAACAAACACCAACTTTAGGCATAAAGAAAAACATCGTCTAATGTGGCAACCCCCCACAATCGACTCAATGGAGGACTTAAATAGACTACATTACCACCACTCATTGTTGGAGAGACTCAGTAGTAGCAGCCGCTCATTCCGGAACACATGTTTAGACTTACATCATGTTAAGGTTCAAGAACGCACTTATCTGAGTTTTACTGGACGTAAAAAGACAAAAGAGAAACCCTTAGAGTTCAGCCTAGTGATGAAAAAGCTGAGAACATACTTCATGAACAACTAGAGGGGTTAGCCAACCATGAAACTAACATCCAACCCGAATTAGCTTGGCATGATATCCAAAAACCGTGGAAACTGTAGCGATATCTATCAGTAACTTAAGTCGAATAGTTAGGATAAGTGGATTTAGGCGGTGTTTACTGAACTGGTGAAAAGACAGAACTATTGTTCCCTCTCAATCTAGGAGACTGGATCAGTGGGCAGAAAACTTTAGGGAACATTTTGACTGACCTTCAGTCACACTTCAGTTACCCACTATCTTCAAGTAATCGGAATGACAAACTGATGTAAGTCCTCCAACTCTCAGTGAGGTTGTAAAGGCTACAAGTAATGTAAAGTGAGAGAGCAGCAGAGCCTGATGGATTAACGTCTGAGATTTTTAAGGATGGTGGCCCAGTTTTATCAGTTACATCGACTGAAATGTTAGCTAGAATCTGGAAACTAGACGTAATTCCATCTTACTAGCCTCGATCGCCGATGGTCCCAGTTTTTAGGAAAGGACAAATATCCTTTTGCGATATCCACTGAAGAATTAGTTTAATTTATATAGTTTCTAAAATCTTAGTCTCAGTAATACTTTGAAGTCTAACCTCAGACTGGTCTCAGACATTGACGTGGATGTAAACAGCAAATATTCGCACTCTAGCAGGCTCTGGAACACAGACATCCTTTGTGAGGTCCGATAAGTTGTATTCCTTGACCTTAAAGTGGCAATCGACTCCGTTCGTCGTGAGGTTCTGTAGTAGTGTCTGTTTCTGAAAGGCGTACCAAATAAGTACATTACCGTTGTATAGTTTCTCTACCCGAACACTACCGGCCAAGCCAGAGCTTATTGGTTACTAAAAATAGAAGATACTTGTCGGTTACTGGTATTCGATCATAGGTGCCTTTGAAGCATTGGTCGTTTATTTTGGGATCACCGAGTAAGCAATGTCTAGGTTAGGAATAGAGCATTAGTTAAGGACGGTAAATCAATTGATGAGGTGGTATATCCTCATAAACTGTGGTGGTTGGAATACGTGTTACATATCCTTAACCACTCCCTACCTCGACGGGCGATGTTATTTAGTGTAGCAGTAGACTGGAAGAAACGTAGGGACGGACAAACCAAAACAATATCAATTCATGAAGTGATCGAAAATTGAAATTAGCCATGTTAATGAATGTAGGCTACCTGGTTGGAGTCTGTGTGGAAATCATAACCAGTGGTTAGAGACTTAGAACGACGTAACTCAAAATAGTCTGCGATGGCGCAAGTGCATTCTGTCTCCTATCTTCCGTTAGATCTTAAGCCTTTAAAGTTCTGAGTTTTTTCATTAATTCATATTTTCTTTAATCGTGTCTTTGATCCCTAATCTCTATTACCACAGATACTGCTACTACCTCTACTGCTCTGGAATTTGGACTGATAGTAGGGGAGCAATCACTCCACATTAAACTTCTGCGTCGCTACAATTATCTATCTCAAGAAATGAATCAACGTAGTATATCATTTTCCCTACAGCTCACTGGAGAGGCAGAGGATCCTCAGTCAAAGAAAGCCAGTTTGGTGTTGCGTCGCCACCGAATAAGTATACATAAATTAAATAAACACACTATCTCGATATATATTTTAGTGTTATGATCAGTTGCTTAATGTACTGTAATTAGCCTCCAGGCTTCAGTAGGATAATCCATGGGACTTGATCTATGTAAAATCATCGTGTGTTCTACTTAGCGTTACCAAAAACAAACGACTTTCCGTATACATATACAGTAGCGATCAAAAACCACATAGATGAATAACATCTAGAACTAAACTGGTTCGTGTATCTTCACTTTAGTGACATAATGCACTGTGATACATAAATTGATCCCTAAATTTATAAATACTGAAACCATGTCATACAGACCTGCGGTGTCAGTAACCACATAACGTCAGTGAGGTATGCCCTTTTCGAACTATTCAACCTTTTGGTTTTTCAAGGAATTCAACGAAACGAAACGAACAAGTTGTAAAGTAGTCGTGTACATTATCGACTTTTTCTACTTCCAAGAAAGAGGGATACTTATCATCATCTCAATACACTACATCGATGCCAATAATGACTCCTTTTACAACACGTAGGTAAAAAGTAAGTACATGCGCACTGCTGAGGAGTTCCATACTAGGACGAAACGGCCGTCGAGTGCTTCTAAGTTTTGAATGGCGGTCTAGCTTAGGTAGACTCATGAATTCAACTATCATAACAAGTAATCCCCTATCAAAATATAACTTTATTAAGTAACGGTTAACTTTCGGGAGGTAATAAAAACTTGAGCAAACCATACAGTATGTAGTGTGACTAGTCTACAGTAACGACTGACTGACATAATTGTGGTAACATATGAACTAAAATTAAGCGGGACACGAGTTATCATGAAAGAACTTAAAGGAGCGTGTCCCAAAGACATCGAAATGTTATTATAGATAGCCATTTGTGATAGATGTGAGTTACGAGAGAACTGGCGTCTGCATAGAGATATATAAGCGTTTTCACTGAACCATCTCATTAAAAATGCACGACAGCTCCCAATAGAAATAACACTTAAATAAAAAAATATCTGGTAAATAGAAGTTGTTGCACATATAAACCATGCAAATGACAGCTAAAATAAAATACCTTTGGATGATCAACGTTAAGCAAAGATAAAACTGTGTCATTTCTTCCAAGGTCAATTGCTGAGTGAACAGGGAACTTGGAATACTTCTCGAGAAAAGATTGCAAGACAGGGGCAGAAACTGTAGAAATTTCTTTCACTGAAAAATTAGGCTGGAAAACCAGGTAAATATTAATCAAATTGCGTACCCAAACACGTGACATAAACGAGAAGCAATGATCTAACAACCGGGTGGCTCTTAGTCTATGCGAAGACGAATACAATGACAAACAGTTTTCTCTTGTCACTAGTGGAATTAAAGCGATTTCGCACCTACAACTTAAAAAATAGAAATACTTACTGGGTAAATAAGGAAGGCAAGCAAAATTCTCGTGCAAGTGTCATTAAATCGGACAAACATTGTGCTTCGTACTCTTCCAATATGCCCCTATAAGTCCATAGAATAAAAGCTTCGCACACATTTTGACAATAACCTTGAGAGACTAAAACGAAGTGGACTTTAATTACCTTGTATATTTATATATTCTACACCATCCTCTGTATAAACATTCCAAACTCCTCCCCTAGCATCGAGAACAAATCTGTGCCCTGGGACAAGAACGTTCGGTGTTTTGAACAGTACATCACTATCATAAGTTATTAGCGAAGCCAAGTTGCAGCTACCTGTATTTCGTATTCAAAAACAAACTCTCAACAAATGCAAGTATATTCCCACAAAAATTTTGTTCCCTGTGTCCGAGTTCTGCCATGAGCATCTCTTTTTCTTTTTCAAGCTTTTCAACTCTGTCTCTAAGTTTCTGATATTCTAACTTAACGTTAGAAATATAAAAGTCCGAAGCCATAGGACAGGAGTAACCTTGAAGTTTGAAATCTCACAGATTTTCAATCCCTAATTATTAAGGTAGTGTGAACCGATCGAGTTCTTCACTTTCATCTTTAGGTGCTGCTGTATGGTTCCAGGTCGGTAGGTTGAAGGTTTGCTGAGTCGACCTTCACTAAAAAATGGTGTGATGAGAGCCAGCTTTCAATTTTTTGGTCTTATAGGTAGAATTGCATCTTACGTGGTTCCAAACCCTCTTCTTGCTTGATTTGATTCCTTTCTCACCCACTGACACCAAATAGTTCAAATTAACTTTCTTTGTAGAACCCCTTCTCTGTCAGAACAAGGTGGCATAGTGATACTTAAAATGGCAGCTGGAGCTTAACACAGCCTAATGTGGATGGATATGCTTCGTTAATACATAAATCAACTTAGATCTTACCATGAATGATGAGGTGTTGTCTAAGTTACATGCAGTCGTGGACTAAGGATTTGGGTAATCTTAAGATTTATCGTTCACAGAAAAGTATTAAAACAGACCTCTAAGTTTCTATGTCTTATAGATAGCAAAACTAGAAACATTTGTAACAATGAGTCATATATTTTAATGTAAAATATTCGCGTTCGACCCCTTCTAAAATACTGCAAGTTTATTCTTAATGATGTGCGTGTAAAGAATAAATTAAGGTTGGGATCAGTACATAGACGATTAACGCTACGGATTCTTGAAAGTGATTGTACCTTGACTTATAATTTCGGATGTAATAAACTTGAGGTCGACGCAAGCATATCCATTTACTCTAGTATTTCCTGAACGCATTGAATACAATATTTTCTTAAATGTAATGATGAAATATTCGTGTTCAGGTAACTGTTTGCTGAGTCTTACTTGCTCATTATGTCACTTAATAGATGTTTGTACAACAAGCCTAACATAGAATGAAGAGGAGGACTGACCATTCTTATTTACATTAGTCCCATTTCAGTCACATTAACAATCTGTGGAGAAGCACGTTGAAGACGAAACCATCCAGGATGAAGGATCGGTTCTACATAAAGTGGACAAAAGATCCATATTGCCTAAATGGCTTAATACAACTGTCACCGAACCAATGATTCATGATACGAAGTCTCCAGTGAAGGTTAACAGAAAGCCCATTTTTATAAGTAGACAAGACTGGTACCTTATGATCAGATAGAAGGCAAGACCACAGTCGAGAACTTACTATAAGCCACAAAAGAATATCAAAATGGTGCCGAAATACACTGAATTTTACGCCACTTGTTGTCACCATCGTGCTTCACAATATAGGAATAGACCATCACAAAATTAAGAGGGTGTATAAATCGCTGAAAGCCTCTGAGATAACAGAGCTTCATTTGTTGGAAAACTGTACTGTTCAACAACATGAGAATTCACTGATCAATGTGGCAGTAGGACGACTGGCCAAAGCAGACTGGAAGTGCTGAGTTCCATTGCCAAACAACAAGAACGACACTTCTCCAAAAACATACGGTGAGTTCCAGCTATAAGTTTTCTGCAATCATAAGGTCATTTTAGATGGTTCGTTCAATGACAACCACACAATTATCTGGGTTCATTCGATTGTTCTGGTCCGAGCGAGTGGCAAAAACCTCAACAGCATCAAGCACCCTGGAATTAATTGTCATACTGCATGTTTTATTCTGAATGCTTTTGGATCAATACTACTCACGAATGGCGTTATATATGTCGTCCACTGAATAATCTAATTTTCAAAAATAATCCAGGCGAGTTCAACTATTTTACTTAATGATTTTTTGTACTTAACATGTATATGTTTTTCAGTTGCTTTTGCCATATATTTGTAAGTGTCACTAAGCTAAATGCAGTAACTTCTTATGGAAGGTTTATAACGCATCATATTCCTGCCTGGAGTTTCACAAGCAGTCTTAACCTTAAAATTATTTATCTGGTCATGTTCATTATTTTTAAATTGTCATATACGTCAACAACCTGCTTGTTAACCTGTCCCGCACATACGTTACACTATATCTTCATGTCTCCTATATTTAGAAATCATCTGAATCGCCTTTAACATTTATCGATAAACCCATCATAGTCGTTGTTGCTAATCGTATTTGGGTTTATGGATTGGTTTATCATATTAGCAGCCTAAAATGCGAACATAGTTTAGATAATAAGATTAAAAATTTAGGTACTATCAACTGCACTAGTAAAATAACTAAATCCCTAGGTAGCTGTTAGCTAAACAAACGCTTAAAATCAAAACTCCGTAGCCTACTAGAATTAACACTAAACGAATCTTTTTGAATTGAAATTTATAATTAAATTAGGCGTCTCGGATTCTTTAAAGTTATAAATTTCTGATAATTTCGAATCACCTAAAGCAACAATACCTATTTTTCCACTGACTAATCCTCAATCAACACTATAACTAGTTAAATTTAATAGTTTCAGGATATCGTCATAAAGCATTGTCATAACTTGACAATCACGTAATATGACTGATAAAATTAATGAAACTATTAACAAAATCGGTCAACAAATTGACTTATAATTACCATTAAATAGTGTTGTTTTCTTGGTATCTTCATCCATCACAGATGATTATAGTATGTTTCTCTATCAGTTGCTCATTCAGTAAATATCTCAAAACCTTGTCAGTCTAATTGAAGGTTTAGCGACACAATCATGCATGCAAATAATCAGTATAAGCAGTCGAGCAAATCTCCTGCAAACTGAAAACATCAATGTCGAATTTACCCCAACACTGACTAAGGTTCAAGCCATTATCATAGACATGAGTTGGGAGTGTACTCCCCTTGGTTACAACTTATGTTCTCCCTTATAATCACATGAGCATCACTCACTGTTAATCATCTTGTAAAAGCTTATTTAGCCGAATACATCCTGCAGCACCACATCACCTAGTAATATGACACATAGGCCTAACTGATTTCAATAACTTGTAACCACTATATCTCAGTTAAATCGTATTCCGCCTTATGATAAACTGCATACTTGCAACTAACTTGTATGCATCATCAGCCGTCAGGTATAAATATGTATAAATAGTCTGTGGCAACTCAGAACATTGAGTCTAGAGCATGTCTCTTACGAATACACTCATGTTTAACGATTTGTTCTTAGCTATCTGTCCAAAACTCATATAATTATCACTCATGTATTGAAATTTTGTTTTAATAACCATTCATGTGTATTAGTAGTATTAATAAATTCTATCACGGTCAAGTAAAAACGAGGTTGAGAAAATCTCCACGTAACTAAATAAACCGTATCAAACTAACTGGAACACTAGTTGGAATTCTTTTCCATGGTAATACTTTTGTTCTTCCAGTTAGCCTACTAATACAGATGCAATTGGAAATCACATATGGACGGGTTACCGGCATAATTGTTAATTGGTTTCATAATTTAAACCAAAACAAATACCAATATTAACATTTCTACAATATTCATTACTTTAATATTTCTAAACACAAAATACTACCTATACGTCAAGTTATTAACCAACGGCTATTAACATGCATTGTTTTATTATTATTACTGTAATCTCATTTTTTATAGCTCAAATAATCTTCACCAAAATTGTCATTTTAAGTGTGTTAAGCATGAAGGCAGATTTTTTTTAAAATTATTACATGTATTTCCCGACCAGATACTGCCGCCTTCTTTTTGATTTATCTTTCAGCTTATCATTACCCGGGGGATTCTTCCTTCGGCGCACGACGATCCCATCCAATTCGGTATCGAACCAACATCACGTTGATTCTGGTGGGAGAGTAGTGTAGTGGCATTGAACAATAACCGCACAATCCACAAAGCTGAACACGAGACTACTCAGAAAATAGATATTCAATATTTAACGCGGATAAATACCTAACAATGGAGAAGGCGCGAACAATGAGTTGAAGGTACTGGAGTTGATCGAGTGGCATGGCTCGACCATGCAGGCGTGGTCTCTGCTGAATGTTACCTCATATCTTCTATTCATATTAAATATATTGTTCTTTCTCTAGCCTAACCTTGTTCTACATCATGTATTGGTAATTGATACGATACAGTGAGTTGGTGTAGTCGATGGTGTGACTTCCACGTAAGATCTTATAGATTAGGCAATTATATCATGACGAATCTACAAATTTGGGATTTGGTCTATTATTAGAGCAGTACTAATATAATAGTAGACCATAATTCTACAACACTTTTTTCATGTTAATATTATGTTCATTCACAAATAATTTATGCTTACATGAGAGTTTTGATTAAACCATTCCGAGTTTCATCACAAATACAAATAATCACAATATTCAACAACGTTTAGATAATATTCACTATATTTAAACACGTTCTGTCATGTTTAAAAATATACTACAATGACATTGAGGAAAGATAAAAACAGAAACAGCGAAGGGTGTATATATAATTTGATTAAGTGTTTGTGATGAAGAATAATATTAAACGGTGTTATGTATATTACATATATTGGATTTAAAATGTTATTGTTGTGGTAAGATTTACTGGTAGAATAAGGAATTAAGCAGTAGGTGTAAAATCCAAACTACGGTTTGGATGTTGAAGAATAGCCGACCGGGGACTTTAGACACTCGCTCTTCCCCGTCGAAATCAAAACAAATAATCGGGTAAATAGCGGTTCTATAATTCATCATAAATTTAAATGTAAATCGTTACCTAAACAAATATTACCACCCGGCTATTCAACCAATAATTGTCCAATCAATCAAATCTAAATTACAATAAATAAAGAAGTTGATAGAAGATGAGGAAAAATTACCAGTTACAACAAATGAACGTTATTCTATCCTGACTGGATAGATCACACACAACAGGAGGAACAAATCAATATGGCTACCGCCAAGAACAAGTGTCAAGTAAAACAACACAGATGCAGTTCAGGAAGAAACACAAACTTAGTGAATGCGTAATAAAAACAAAACTATAATAAAAAATACAAGTATTAACAATTCAAATGTAACCAAAATGCAACAATGTACAACTAAGGGGATCAATAGGAACAAAGTACAAGTATATACATTGATGATGTCACAGGTATTCAGTGTTTGACAACGCTTCTACCAGTAACACCTCCTAATA